TGTTTATATTAAGGGTGCCACCTCAAATGTGTATTACGTACTTGTCATAGCACATACTTTAAAGACTTCTCTGTCAGCTAAACCCTGGTTGAAAACAGTACTGTCATTGCTCACTCCTATGCTTTTGTGAACCCGGAAAGTCTTTATCTTCCCTACTTTTAGTATATCATATTGCTAATGTCTTTATATCTTCATTTAGTTGGTTTATTTGTTCCAGAAATATGTACTGAACACCCATTATAAACCAGATAGTTTGCTAGACACTGAAGGTATAGAATTAAGTAAGATGAAAATTATTCCTGCCCTCCTGAAGCTTATCATCTAGCAGGGAAAATAATAATTAAACAAAATATGATGTAGTTAAAATTTCATATCTGCTCTGCAGGAAAATCATACGGTATTGTGAACAATGATTTTTAAAAGCTCTAACTTCAGATGGGATATAAGTCTTCTTGAGGAAGTGGTATTTAGGATGATAATGGGTAAAAATTAAGTAGAAAAAGTGAACAGGGATAGAGATGAAGGTAGGAAGATGGGAAAGAATTTCAGACAAAGAGAACTAGTAAAGTAGTCAGCATACTTTATAGAGGCAAATTGTTCAACAATGAGTGTAACTGTAGTTCTCAGTGGTAGGTAAATCCAGGCATTTTGCTCAGTATTACTGGACTGAAACCTATCTTCAGTATTTCCTTTCAAATCTATGCCTCAGCCCCACGGGCCACGTCCTTACTCAGACTATTCTTTCTGGTGGCAATGTTCCATCTCTCATGTTCAAATCCCACACATCTTTCCAAAGTCAATTCTAATCCTGAGGTTCTCTCCTATCCGGCCCACCTGGCAACAATGACATCTCCATCTATGTCACTCTCTATATCTATATATGCAATTTATATTTGATTTATCTCTATACCCCCTTCTCAAAAGAGGTCTAGCAGAATCCTTGTACCAACTACATATTTTATATATTTTTATTGAATAAAAATGGCTTTTAATGAGCCATGTATGACACTGATGAAGTAACTAAGAGGACACATCAAATGTGCACAGAGTTTAAAAAGCAAAACTATGTAGTCAAACTTTCATTTAGGTAGAAGTTAAATGTGCATTTATCACCCAGTTGTTGGAGGCCAGTTAGCTCATTTGGTTAGAGTGTGGTGCTAATGTCATGTGTGGTATGTAAGGTGGCAACTTTCGCAAACATGAAAGCATGAGAAAATCAATACATTTCTTGCAATGACAATTGGAAATCAACAGCACAGACCTTACAGCCTAGTACTTCGGTGTTTCCCTACTGCCACCCCTTCCCCCTACACACATTATGACAAAGACCTTTACTTCTATTAGTTTTTAAATAAAAATTCTAAAATTAACCTAATTCTCTCCCATTGTTTACCTTCAGAAATCTATGGTTTGTTGAAGCCATGACACTATTTTCTTGTAAAATGTTAGCATAACTCTGAAGGACAAGTACAGTCTCCGTCTTTAGCTCTGAGGCTGAGAGAGGAATGCATGTCTCTGGGTTATGGAACCAAACCCTTTCTCCTAAACTACTCAGAAATGTTGAAAGAGCTTGTTCTATCATTATCTTCCCCTTAAAGCATCAGTACATCTTCCTTCTGACAGGCAACTTTATTTTTCTTCGGACAAATTGAGGGACTCACATCTCTCCTAATTTCAAACCTTTGGGGATAAGATAGCTATGTTGTCCAGGGCTCTGGGTTGGTTAATAAGGATCTTGGTGAGTAAGAACTTAAGTGTTTTCAGGGCTTAGTGTCTGCAGAGGTCCCTTTGCTGTGCATGGAGAAAAACTAATCTGTGTTCACAGAATGAACTGCTAACCTTGGCTGGCCATCTTATAAATGTGGGCTTTTGGTCCTAAGAGTGCAAATAGGAAAACTATTGATCATGAATCAGTGATCTGAGTTTTATGAGGAAAGGATGTAGAACACATAGAATTTTTAAAGTGGGGAAGAATTTCTCCCCAAACTGTACTACAACCGCTCATAGGAAATTCTATGCCAAGATGTTTTCATTTCATTTCTCTTTAAGTACAGTACAGTCAAAAATTTTAAATGAAAATAATGAGAATTGGCCAGGCATGCTGGCTCATGCCTATAATCTCAGCACTTTAAAAGGCTGAGGCTGGCAGATCACTTGAGGTCAGGAGTTGAAGACCCACCTGGCCAACATGGTAAAACCTCGTCTCTACTAAAAATACAAAAAATTAGCCAGGTGTGATGGCACAAGACTGTCATCTCAGCTACTCAGGAGGCTGTGGTAGGAGAATTGCTTGAACCTGGGAGGCAGAGATTGCAGTGAGCCGAGCTTGTGCCACTGCTCTCCAGCCTGGGCAGCAGAGCAAGCTTCTGTCTCAAAAAAAAAAAAAAAAAGAGAGGAAAAAAAAAGAAGGCACATAATGTGGTTGGAATAAGAATAATTGAAGTAATTATATTTAACTCTTCAAATTACACTGACAGCTAATGACTAAAGAACCCAATTGATTAATATTCATACCTTAAGGATTCAGTCAGCTAAGTCATAGGAGTACCTAAAAACGATACCATCTCAAGGGAGGAAACTTCACTTGATCAGAAGAGGAAATGTGTTAGTCTTAGGTTCCCATTGCATCAAATAGCTTATATTCTCATCTAAACTGACTCAGAACCAAAAGGAGATCTAATTTCACCGTAATGTTGCTCTGTTCTTTTTTATTTTCCAAGAATTTTATGTACATTGTCAAATATGACTGAAATGTGAGGCTTGCTCATATTTTACTGGTGTTTGTCTAGAGATGGAGACTTGGAGGAAGAAGAGTCTGTAATCCATAGCACCCCAAGAAAACATCTCTTCTTTCTAGCTGCACATGCCTCTGGAGCAGGGAATTTAGTAACTCTCACTGTTATATCTCCAATGCCTTTCTTATCACCTGGAATGACAGTGAATGTCTCTAGAATAAATAAACTTTGCAGAATAGGAAAATTACTTTAGAAACCTGAAGATATTTTGCAAGAAAAAAAAAAAAAAAAAAAAACACCTCAAGGGGACACGAATGACATCTATTAGTTTCTTAAGACTACAAAATTGGCGGAGAAAACATCTGTAGACAGTAGAGAGCAAAGTCCAGAGTCAGAACCCACAGTTTGTGGCAAAAATATTTCTGCTTCAAAGGTCTAGTACTTTAAAAAATTATCTTGAAAACTTGTGTAGTAGCTACATTTGCTAATGTGAGTGGAGTATTTTCAGAAGATTAAAAGGAAGCTGGCATTAAATTGTGATTGCTATCATTTCTTTTCAAGTAGACAGGTTAGGCCATGCATTTTATGGCACTGCAGGCTCATTTGCCCTGTGAACCTCTCTCTAACCTCCTCTCCAGTTGAGAAGAACTGATTATTCTGTATTAGGAGAGTACTTTGTACATCTCTTGACATACCACTGCCACACTGAAACATATTTTATTTGTGCCAGACTGAGAGCCTTCATGGAAAAGGAAAGAGAAGAAAACTAAGGATTAAGTTAACATGTCAGACACAATACTGGATTTTTTTTTAAGCATTCTGTTCTCTCCTTTAATTGTTAGACTAGCTTAAAGACATTGGTATTATTTTCTCTATATTTCAGATTAAATAAAAAACCACAGAGAGATTATCAGAAACTGATCATATGCCACACGTATGTTAAGTACTGTTCCCAAGATTAGAACCCAGATCTGACTGAGAACCAATCTCAAGCCCTTTTTACTCCACCACACTTAGAGGCAGTGGAGCATAGTAGCTAGCATTGGTTCTAGAATCAGATTGCGTGGGTTTACATCTCAACTTTGTCTCTCACAGACTACCTAATTTTTATGAATCTCTGCTATGTTTAACTGTACTGTAAATGAAAAAAGTAATAAGCGCATGACACATAGGATTGTTGTATTAAATAAAGTAATAATTATTAATCATTTAGAAGATTTCCTGAGACATGGTAAGTGTTGAGTAAAGGTTAACTATTTTTGAGAACAGATAATAGATCATTTTCTTTTGTATCAACAGACATGGTACATACTTCAACGTTAGGCAATTAGTAAACCCTGCAATAATGACTGTGGAATTTAATTACATGTTGATGAAGAGGCAGAATTAAGAAAACTTACTGGAATTTTCTGGAAAATATTTCCCAGGTACTTCCTCAGCTGTAAATAATTTTATCTTTCATAGTTCATACAATTCAAGAAATGCACTGTGTGGCACCCTCATTACTCATGGATACTCCCACAGTCCTTTTTCACCTGTATTTTTTCAAAACACAAGCTTTTGAATATCTATTAATAAATGTGGAGATGATAATGAAATTAGAAAAATGTGTGATCTCAATAGTAATAACTTTCAGGCAAGAATTACCAACTGATGCTAAAATTAGTAGATGAGGATGTCCATTTCTGCTTAAGATGTAGAATGTGACAAGAAAATGTCTTTCCCATCTTAACAATGAGAAAAAGTTAGATAATCTACAAAATCATAAAAATTTTCTGGAAATCATAAGAGAGCTGACATTGTAACGCAAACCAACTGAATTCCAATGAATGGCATACCACTCTGAGAAGGGAAGGGACAAAAGAGCTATTTCATTTCTGTCCACAGAAATTCTTCAAACTGAAACATAAAAATAAAAATGATTCATAAGGTCAATATACAAAAAGGCATGGTAATTTTACATACTACCAAGGAGAATTTAGAAATAATTATTTTTCTTTTGTTATGGGAGATGAGATGCTATTTCTTTGAAGGCCCCTTTCCTTCTTTAGCTCTTGATTCCACTCTGAGAAGGGATGGAACAAAAGAACTATTTCATTTCTGACAGAACATGAGAGGAAAATACTGCAGTCCTAAAAGCAGGTATGAAAAAATCAGCTGTAAGTTTACCAGATTCTTTAAAGCAATGTGTGGGATAGCTTATTCATAACTGTGAGAACCTAAACACAAAAGAGTTGACCCTAGCTCACATGTCCTTTTCCACAGGCTTCCAGAGGTATGCAGGCAGAGGACTGGAGGCGGGACCCTTGGTGGCACCAGTGTGCAGATGTGCTGATAGTGACTGATTGCAACTTACTGGGGTAAGTTGCAAATTACTACTCATTTCTCTGGATTCATGGCTCAAATAAAACAAATCCCTAAGACACTGAAAAAGGGGCAACAACCTCTCCAACACCTAGGGCCAAAAAAAGGTCCTCTGCTTATGTGAAAGTGATAACGTATAAGGTAGGAAACCCTTCTTGCTCTGGGACCCAGAAAAAGACTCATTCCTTCTGGGAGAAGGGTAGAATTAAAATATCTCTGCTTCTAGGAAATTTGAAAAAAACCTTTTGGGCCCAGGCTTCTGGACTGATACAATGCAGAGGTCTGCTGCAACTGGAGTATGGGCAGGATCCAAGGGGAGAGGGAGGCAGGAATGCTGAAAAGTCAAAGCTTTAAGGCCCAGTTGTATAGGATCTGCCTAAGACTGAGACTAGGTCAGAAGAACCAAGAATCTCATCTTCTCTCAAAGAGCTTCAAGCTGAGTAACCAGCAATAATTTTCTACAAACTGGGACCAGGACAAAGGGTGGCAAGAGATTCTTTCTGTGGTAGGAAATGGCTGAAAGCAGGGGATGGAGCAGTAACACTGAAAAAACGTTCTGGTACCTAAGGACCCACTCTAAGCACAATGTACATATCCCATCATTGGAGGAATTGGAAGTGTGTGGCACACTTCAGGTAACAGTAACAAAAACAATTACCAAATACACCCTGACTACTAACTAGATTGACTCAGCTCAGAAGTAGAGGTACACACATTTCCAAGTGTAAATCCTATTTACTTTTGTATCTACTGCTTTTCCACACACAATTACCAATGTTCGGTAACAATTATGTTCTATACCTACAAAACAAGAAAGAATGACCCCATTGTTAGGAAATAAGAAACAAGAAAAATCAGAGTCAGAGGTAAGTCAGATAGCTGAAACTATAGTTGAAATAATCAGACAGAAACATTTAAATAACTATGATTCATATATTAAAGGACGTAAGGAAAAAGGAAGATGACATGCATAAAGAGATGAATTTCACCATAGAGATCGAAACAATAAATATAATCAAGTGAAACTGCTAGAAATTTTAAAACGTGATAAGGGAAAGAATATTGAAAATTTATAGACTGAATGCAGCCGAGAAAAAAAGTAAACTGGAAGATGTCTGTAGAAATTATTCAAACTAAAACATAAAAGTAAAAATGACTGGTAAGGTCAATATACAAAAATACATGGTAATTTTATATACTAGCAAGGAGAATTTAGAAATTATTATTTTTCTTTTGTTATAAGAGATGAGATGCTATTTCTTTGAAGGCCCCTTCCCTTCTTTAACTCTTGATTCCATTCTTTTTTATTTTCACAATTCCTCTGATCTTGATTAGTTTATGTCTCCCTCCTCAGCCGTTTTACTTTTTATTAAATTATTTGCTTTATCATTCAGAATCTGTAGAAGTTACATAAATAGAAGCACAAATGAACCTTTTTGACTCCCTGTCTCTCTGCCACCCGCCTCACTCCCTCTTCAACATACTCCCACCCTGGTCTTTGTTTCCACTACTACTTTCAATAAGCTCTAGTCAAGACAACAAGTATAGTGGTTAATTTCAGGTTTGACTTAGCCCTTAGGAACTCTTGACCAGCAGTCACTTCGGCTCTTTTGAAACATTTATTTATTCTGCCTTCCTTGACACCACACATTTCTTTTTCTGCCTCATTGAGACCCCATTCTATCTCCTTTTCTGGCTTCAATTATCCTATTCAACCTCTAATTATTGATGTACTTTAGTTTTTAATCTCAGGTTTGTTTCTGTTCCCTACTTACATTTTTACCTATAGAAAGTACCCTCCAGTTCTAGTGTTTTAAGAACTACTTGTATGCTAATGGCTTCCAGATTTCCATCTTGACATCTTTCCCGAGCTCCAGACTTGCATACACAACTAAATTCATGACATTTTCACTTTGATTATCAATAGGCATTTCAAATTTATCATTTCCAAAGAAGAACTGTTAACTCTTATCCACCTTCAGTAAATGTATTTCTCACATAATCTCCGTCATCTCAGTAAAAGCTATCATTATCTACTCAGTTGCTGAAGCCAAAACGTTAGGAGTTGTTTTCAATTGCTCTCTTCTGCTCACTCCCCATGCCCAAATCAGTAGCAAATGACATCATTTGTACCTGCCACATACGTCCTGAATCTTTCCTTTTGCAGCATGTCTGTGTGCATTGAAGTCATTTGGACTATTATGTTAGCATCCTAACTGGTCTTTGTGCTTCGATTCCTGCTTTTCTAAACTCCATCCTCACAAAGCTGGCAATGTATTTTAAAGTATATGTATAGATATATATACAAATGTCCTACCATGGCCTATGTGACTTCTGACCACCTCTCAGATCACAGCTTCTTTTGCTTTTCCTCTTACTCACTGTTTTTCGACACTGTTGTTTTTTAACAATTTCCCCTAAACTGTTGTCTTTTTCTTGCTCCTGCTAGTTCATTTTTATTCATACAGAAGCCTAAGCATCTTGTTCCCAGAGGGGCTTCCCTGATTATTGAAGTTAGCATCCAACTGCTCCACTAATACAACTCTAGCTACTCTCCATGTTCTTACAAGGAGGTGAGCAGAGACAGCAAGATGGGCAGGGGAAAAAGCTAACAAAAGATTGTCTCAGCTTGAGACTAGCTTGATTCCGATTTCACAGAATCTCTGGAGAAAAGTCTACTACAGTGTAAATATCCTCTTGGAGTAAGGCAGTGGCCTTTTGTACTCCTGCATCAGTCACTTTTTTTTTTTTTTTTTTGTCCAAGGTTCAATGGAACGATAGACAGTGAGGTTAGCTGACCTCCTGAGAAACGAGACTGCCAGTGACCAAGGACAGTTCTTTTTAGAAGGGAGAAACTGTGGGTGGCAGGCAACACTACTACTTCCAGCAACTGGAAGGGTCAGGGAAGTGGGTAGCAAAGAGAATACGGGCAGGACATCAGCAGCTTCCATTATACAATGTTCATTCAACCCAACTAAATTGTAGGTGGAAAGATGGGTATAGGATTTGAATAACCTAGTTTCAAAAGGTCCTTTTAATTCTAACATTTTATGAATTTGTAATTTTAACAATATTATCTAAGTTTATTCATGATAACTAATCATAATACTGACACTGATATTATTTTTTTCTAAGCATTTGATTTATTTTGTGATACAGAGTCAAGTAGTGAGCCTTGATTATGCTTTTCAGAATTCATTAGATCTGTAGAAATTATGTCCAGGTCTGCAATCACACTGCCCCACCCTCAATCATCTTGTTTACATTCCACTCTACCCTAGTCAACTCTAGCTATAATAAGCTTGCTAGAACTTGAACATCTTATCTTCTGCAATTACTTTCCTGACCACTGTAGGCTAAATTAACTTCTCTCTTTACTCTAGAAAATGATAACACTTAGCACATTACACTATGGGGTCATTAATTTTGTACAGCTAAGGCTGATCTCAGTGCCCAAGATTTTGTTGTAATTAAATATTTTCTCATCTCAAACACACTCAGAGTTCCTTCTGACTTTCACAAGGCTTACCCCCCTTAAACTCATTTCAATCTACACAAAAACTGGAAAATAAAGACAAAATCTATTTATCATCTCAGTATTTTCACTTTTATTTCTGTCAGCTCTTGAAACAAACTGGTGTTGCCTTTATATCTCATTTTCACTATTCTATCCAGACTGAAAAGAAATTAATTTGTCCAAGCAAATAATGTCATCAACTTACAATGAAAGAATACACACTCTTTGCAACTGGCTGAAGATTGATATTCCTCTTTAGAAAACTACTTATTACAGCATGACAACAAGATGTATGGAAAATAAAAGTCTAAATAGATTGCTTGGAACAAATAGACTTGGAACAAGAGCAAAAGTTGTTGGCTGAGATTACTGGGTAATACATGAGACCAGTGTTTCACAAACTGTGTTTCTCCAGTTGATAATAGATTTCCTCTGAAATGAACAGTTAACTTCCTGGTTAAATACATTGGGGAAATGCTATATAATATGATTTAAAATATAAATTAACCATTTAAAATTTTTGAGAAGTCCTACTGAAAAGAAATCCATTATTCTTAAACACTTATGCAACCATCTCTCAGTTCACTAATAATTTCAGATCAGCCAGGAAACTTTCAACTTGGACTATTATACAATTATTCCCAAGTATATTTTCTCTTTTTTTAGTCAATTCTGTTGGTCAGTGTTTGGCTGCAGAGTACTGACTATGGTAGCTAATTTCAGCAGAAAGAAATTTATGAATGTGTGCTAAATGGCTGACAGAATTTGGGGAATAAATGAAATAAAGACTTTTAGTCAGAACTTCCAAAAATCACTTGCAAAACCACATAACAGAACTTTGTCTCTAAGGGTTTTGCTGTTTCCGTCATAACCAGGAATCTGATTGCTGAACCGAGAGGTTGCTGCTACAGCAAGTTCCATACCTTCTCTGTTTTTCTGTGACCCACACCAGCAAGATAGAGGTTTCACACCTGACGTTTCTCTCTACTTAATTCCATTTAAATTCAGATTTCACGCTTGTATGTCTGATTGGTGAAACATAAACGTATCCAGAATCTCAGCTTCAAGGGAATCTGGATAATGTGATCTTCAGCCTTCCAGTCTCTGCTTCATAGTATCCTATATGCCATAATCATTTTCTCCTAACATATACTGCATTGCAAGATGATAAGGTTTCTGATGATGCAATGAGATGAAATAATACTTTTAAAAATTCTGGCCAGACATGATGGCTCACGCCTGTAATCCTAGCACTTTGGGAGGCTGAGGCAGATGGATCACTTGAGCTGAGTAGTTCAAGTTCAGCCTGAGCCAAAGGTGAAACCCTGCCTATGAAAATGCAGAAAAAAACAGCTGAGTGTGGTAGCATGCACCTGTAGTTCTAGCTACTGGAGGGCTGAAGTGATAGGATTGCTTGATCCTGGGAGGTCTAGACTGCAGTGAGCTGTGATTGCACCACTGCATTCCAGCTTGTCTAGC